AGGACTTCTTTTCTGAGAATTGTAACTAAACTGCAATTAAATTCCTCGCTTTCTGGTGTAGTCAAGCAGAAAGAAACCGGAAAGTACTGCGCTCTCCTTAAACTAATCAGATTTCGAAAGCAGAATCCGAAGAATTTGATTTAGTTCATCCTGGCCCGTCAAACGAACCAAATTGGTTCTAAGAATTTTAACGAAATATATTTTAAACCACATTTGAAAACAGGCTAATTATAATAATGTATTCATGCACGGCTGTAATTGTTAAAGGATCAGATTTTATACTCATGGCATTGTGATGATACTCTGTGTATGTGTTGGTATTGACCAATCAGATTGCAATAGTAGTGTCCGTATGTATTGATGTATCCTTCTGAAGGTGGTCGCTCCGACCGAACAGGTCAAGGATGAAAGATTAAAGATGAAAAAAGAAATTATTAATCACACTGGATGGAGTTGATAATCTTTTATGCTAGAATCCGAAGATTCAACAAAGCCACTTCACTTCCGAGTCCCCTCGTCCTCTGTCTTCCAAGTGGCCGTTTTTCAGCCGGCTCATCTTTGCTACACACCCAGCCCATCGTGGTCTTCTAGATTCTACTGTATTAACAGTACTGAGTGATCTATATAAAACACATTGCTCTTTATACGTTAGCTGAAACTACCCGATGACTTCAGCCATTTTTCTGAACACTCTGTTATCAGGCGGCTGTAGCCTTCCCTGCAATCGAGAGAACATTTCAAACTGTCTGCCGATGCTTCTATTATTTAACCGTACTTTAATTGTGTGTCATGATGTTTTCTTCTGGATTGTGACATCATGTAGTTTTGTGGGCGGATGCCATAGTTTCGGGGGAAAATACTGCCTCCGTCTTCCGGGTTGAAGTATGTCGGTTCAGGAACAGGTTCGCCCATATAACCATGTTTATTCCAGAACTTACCCTTCAACCCTGAAGCTGAAGGCAGAAATTTCTTCCGAAACGTCATCCGCGTGCAAAACTGCATGGTGTCACAAGCCAGAAGGCTAAAATCTTAATATACTCGAACAGGTTGCTTATCCGTTAATGTGTACATTGGAAAGCTGCAGTCACTTGGGCGACATCTTGTTCGCTTGTTTGCAGTGATCGTTCTCCACTCGCAACACTCACCCACAGCGGCTCTATCAGATCGGAGAGTGTCAGTGATGCGGTTGGTACAATTTCCTGAAAGTGGCCGGTATTTGATCCTCGGAAGTGTCAGATGCTATTTCTCGTCCCAACTTTTAAAATCCCCACGTACACTTGTCTCCGGTACATTGCTCTTTCCCGAGAGAGAAAGCGGTCGCAGCGTGAGGCTACCGGTCACCTCCATGTAGCGTGGAAGTAGATCTCCAACCCCAGCGTACCTACATGATGCATTGCTTAGGCAAAAGTAGGCAAAGCTATCCCTGTAACAGGCCGCGGAGGCCCATAGGGTTGTGAGACGTCGAAGCTCCCACATTTTCTAGACAGTAGGGTCACAGATGGCGATAAGGTTGTCAGCCTTACGCACCACCCGCCCTTTACCCCCCAGCAAGATTCTGGGCACTCGTTTCTGTTGGAGGCCTAGTCGACCCCAGGGCCACAGTGCGGCTGGGAGGATCAGGTACATTGAAAATTTCACCACATGGGGAATCGAACCCACGACCTTCCGGCTTGTAGCATGTACCGCGTGCCCCCGCTGCAATGCTTAGGCACAGGGCTAATGCTCGGGATTTCTGGGTTTCTGGACTTCGTCCATCGTCGAGTATTCTAAAACACAATGTCTCGGAAACTGGAGCTGTATGCTTAAGAATGCCGGACGAGGGACAAAGCCCAAAATCCCAGTAATCCCGAGTGTTAGTACTACACCACCATCAGAACCCTGTAGATACAAGGTCCCGCCTTCGTAAGGTTGTTACACGTGTTTTGCCTATACGTACTTCTCAGTGTTGTTCCCTGTTTTAGTGTCCGACCATCCGTATTCTGTTAGATCTGCCTCCAGATACCGCGTTCGTTTGCGACTTTCGACACGCCTTCGAATATTTTCGTTTATATTTAATTTTTATGTAGGTTGAATGTAGGAGTCGGGATAGCGCGGTCGGTGTAGACTGGCTGCGGGCTGGAGTTCGAGCCCCGGTAGGTGCAAGAACTGTCACTTCTCCATTTCGTCCAGACCGGCTCTGGGGTCACCCAACCTCCTGTCCAATGAGTACCGGGGGTTCTTTCCCTGGGGGTAAAGGGCGACCGGGGCGTGAAGCTGACCACTCACTTCCAAGTAGTGCCGAGGTGAAGAAAACGTGGTTCTATACATCCATATGCCTTCATGGCGTAATGCTTAATTAGTTAAGCAACGGGACAGCTTTACATTATCATGTAGGTTGAGTGTGAGACTTGAGCACCTGAAGCCTGAATATCTATAAATAATTTCTAAAAACAGTTCCTAACCCATGGAAACACACTGAGGCTCTGTTGTAATGACCAGTCAGTTAATGCTTTTAAGAAAATAATCGCTGTTCCTTTATAGGATATCTGGAAACAAGTGAATGCACGTCGTTGGCGAAGCACAGAGTTTTGTAATGTTAAGACATGCGGCACCCACGTTGCTACTGGGCTTCGAAGGACTTTAAAATGGGAAAGCCGACTAAGCAAGTTTGTGTACTTGTCAACAGTATTATCGAATAATCATTTGCTGTTTATATCTGTGATGTAACAAAAGGCAAGTGTAAACAGTAGCATATCGACATTCTCTGAAGTCAGCAGCTTTAAATCAGAGCGTCACGACACAAAATACGTAATTATGTAATTTCATTGCAGCCCCACATTGCAGGGCTGCCGAGACGCAAGCACTGCAGTACAATTTCTGGACGCGGTTCGAATCCTTCTTTCTTTGAATATTATTCCTTCTTTCAAGTTTAGCTATTATGTATTGTGATAATGATAAGAAAAGCAGTCAAGTCCCTGGCAAAAAAAAGTTACATTTTCTTGTCTGTTAATACACGTACAAGTTACTTCATCCTGTTTCAGTTATTGTACTTGTTATACACATGCTTTTTATTGTAATTTATTAACTAAGAAACTACGAAGTTTTCCCCCCGACAGTTTACAATTACATAATTAATGTGGAAATTCCCCCTCTTTCCGGAAACCCATAGCCAAGTGAATCTAGTTCAAACTCTGATACTGTATTTATGTCTCCCAGCTGATAGTCTTAACTTCCCGGAGTTTTCCCATTTATTTTGTTGTATGCATATCTTATCTTCCTATGCCTTCTATGTGTTCGGCCTATCTCCTCCAACTTGTTTCTAATAACATTTAGCAAAGAGTACAAACTTTGAAGCTCATCTTTTTGCAATTTTCTCGTGTTACTTTCTCCTTAGATCTAAGCCTTCTGCTTGCCACTCTTCTCTCATACACTGTCTCTCTGTTTCTTCCTCAGTGCGAGAGGCGAAGTTTTACCACCACAAATACCAAAGGTAGAATAACTATTTTAACTCCTCATTGTAGGATGCGTCTTGGCGCCGAAAAGTTTGATGACCAGCTGTACCGTATCTCAAAAAAGCGCTGAGCCAATTTTTTCAAAAGTTGGACTTTAGAGTGTATGATCTGTGTTCGTTATTAACATAATAACCTGTAAACATGCTGCTTTCGTGACCCAGTGTGGTAAGACAGCTAATAGCCAAGCTGTCGATCTGTCAGTGTTAAATAGTAAATCGAGTATTATGTTTAATAGGTCGGTAGACCTAATTGTAGGCTAATGTGACGTTGTGAAACAAGTTCGTTTTAATCCGCGGAAATGCTATAAAGCGTGCAGTTAGGGTGAAGATATGCTGCCTACGCTCCTCGTTTTGCATAACATCAGGAAGTAACATCGTGTAATTGCTCCACTGCAGTGCAAGTGCAAAAATAATTGGTTTTGTAACTTTTCTAACTTTGCATGTGCGTTACATCCTGAAGGAAGTGCATTGTAAAGTAGGGAGCCTGAACATATTACTCTGCTACATCTTCTTTTGGTGGCCAGTGATCGCCATGGCCTAAATGAGTATGAACTTCTAATCCCTTGCACCAGATGAAAGAAACAGATTCAGTTTCCGAAACATTGTGTTTGGGAAAGAATTCAGGACCGTGGACAGTGCCCAGGGTGGTTGCTGTTACACATTGCTCTCAGTTTGCGCAAAACGGTTTCATTCGTATTGCGTGGATCCATGAGAAGAATTATCGTTACAGAAGTGAACTTCATCTGTAAATTTAGCAGTCTTCCTTAAGTAACCCAGCGCTAACTTAATAATTAAATTAATGCCTAAGGTAACAGCAGGGCCGCGCCATAGCTCATGCGGTTAGTCGCTGGCTTCTCACCGCGGCGGCCCGGGTTCGATCCCGTGTCTGGTCAAGTGGGATTTGTGGTGGACAAAGTGGCGCTGGGGCAGGTTTTCTCCGAGTACTTCGGTTTCCCCTGCCAATCATCATTCCACCAATTGCTCCACAATCACCCTCACCTATCATCTTGGGCTGATACAATAGGCCAAAAGTGACCGCAGTACAAGGGACTTAGTCCCACCCCACTAGCAATTTTAAAGACAAATTAAGGTAACAACAGCATGAATGTTCTGCAAAACTATACCAAAATCCCGCACACTTGGACGATGTCCTAAACCAATTTGATATATTTCACACCTTGGCACCTGATTATTCTAGGATCCATCTTAATATTATCTTCCGTATACGCCTAGGTCCTCCAGATGTTAATTTTCCTTGAGGTTTTCCTGACAGCCCTATAGGATTAATTTTTTTTTTCGTATGACCCTCACGAGCTGTATGTTTCTGACTTTGCGTCAGTGATGGCGTGTGCAGAGTGCAAATAATATCATTACTGACACAAGGTGTGTGCCTCCAAGGTACCGTGTTCAGTGGTAGGGTTTCACTTAGGGGGGAGAGGGGAGGGCGAGAGTGGCACAAAGATAAGGAGAGAGAGAGAGAGAGGTGGCAGTCGACACGGCACGGTAGAGTAGGACGGCTGTGACTTTCACCAGACAGTTTCAGTGCCTGTTTTGTGTGTGACGCCGAGTGAAGTTGCCTTATGCTGAAGAATTGGTGTACACCCCAGTCTATTTGTATCGTTCGACATCTACTCATAGGATTATTTATGTTTTGCAAGGCCGGAGATAGAGAGTGCTGATTTATTTGGAAGTTCTTGTGTCAGTGGAGGTGAATATTGTGCTAGTTACATTACTGTAGTTTTGTGATTACGTAACTAAATTGTTCACAACAGATGCAGTACAGGTATGTCGAGTGGGATGTATTGGGGTGTGACACCGTGTAGCCTGGTAGAAGTTTATCGAAAATTCGTAGGAACGCCCAACTCTCATCTTCAGGGTCGAAATGAAAGCTTGCTCGGCCATCTCGTCGACTCTGAAGATAGAGGCAATACGTTCCTCCGAAACTCCGGGAAACTGCCGTTTCCTAGAAGATGCTGCTGCTCAGGAGCACGTGTTATTTTCCTTGTGCTGTGAATTTAATAGGAGTAGACAGATATTTCGACCACCATCAATAAATCGTAGTGAGGTACATATTTTGTCATGGATGCGCCTTGCTTTGATGAGCAGGGCCTAATTCTTTTTATAAATTCGACTGATTTCGAATTATAGCTTTGTCTTATGTGCGGATGTTGAGCAAAATGAACTTTTAGGCAAATAGAAATTTCATCCCTATTCACTATGAGGTGACGGACATTAGATCTCCATTAGCCGTTCATTTTATTTGCGTAGTGAAGGGGACGCATGAGAGTTACGCAGAATTAAACAAATATGATGTGATATGATGGAGAATTTGCTGTGATTCACTAGCCGAAAGCCTGTCTGCTAAAGGAGATAGAGCGGATCTGAGATTCTCACATCGGTGGCTATGAAGACGTGGGGCTGCAAGGCCAGGGCCAGATTTGCAGTTGTGTGGGCCCCGGGGCAGTCAAAGTCTAGAGGTCTCTGTGAGGAACAACAAATTTAGCTTCAAACATTTTTATCTTTTTTTTGTTCTTTCTATTTTTTTTTTCACTGGCTCTGCAACCCCCTGATTTTTCAGTTTCATGGTCATTTTACAGAGGGTAGGACTCCTTGGACGGGTGATCAGCTCGTCGCAAGACTTGTACCTAAACACAGGACAACACAAACACAAAATAAACGCATACACACACACCAAACATCCATGCCTTGTGTGGGATACGAACTTACGATCCCGGCTTCCAAGCGAGCGAAGACAGTACATGCCTTAGACCGCTCGGCTACTGTGACCAGCAGTTCTTCTTTCTTATAGTAACTTCATGGTTTTAAAGAAGCAGATGTCTCAGTGAAATTTATGGACTCTGTTTTCGTTTTGTGGAGGTCCTTGGGCGACCGGCTCGGTCGCTTCCACTTAAATCCAGCTCTTCACGCTGTTGCATTCCATAAGATAGAAATCAAAATAGGAATATATGTATGTGCTTTCTGCCAACAGCGTCGTTTAGAAGTACCGATTAAAACAAGTAAAATTGAATTACACAGTGATAACTGTGGCGTGACGACAGGGGTTGGGTGCTAGGCGTAGGCAGGGTTTATCGTCATAGTTACGACTTCTCGACACATCCTCCCTTCAGTGGCTGGCCACAGGGAGTTATTGCCCCGGAGAGAAGCTGACAACCCAGCGCGTCTAGTGCGCAGGTCTAGAATACACATTGCTGGGATGGCGATTAGCACAGGCACACTCTCACTTTAACTCTGAATCGCCCTAAGATCACAACGTAGCTATATTATTAATATCAGTATCGTTACTTTATCACCAAATGTGTTTTGTAACAAGTAGTTGGATTCCTGAACCCTTATGTAGGGATGCTGCTAAGTTCGTTGCAGAACAAGATGAAGGGTACACCGGGCACTCGTGTCAAATTGTTCGTTCAGGAAACGGCAAAATCGTCACTACACATTGTATTAATAATGCTGCTGAACAAGGATTTCGAAATATACAAGGAAATCAATTTTTTAAATTAAAATCTGTTGTGATGATTCAGAATATGGACATAGAAATTTTCTTTCACGTTGCAGTTCATATATTGAATCGTGATAAAGAAAAATCGCACTTTTTCACCTTCGTGGTTTTACTTGGTGCTGTCCAAAAACATAACAATTAGAATATACAAAACTATAATTTTGCCTGTGGTTCTGTATGGGTGTGAAACTTGGTCTCTGACATTAAGGAGGAACATAGACAGAGGGTATTTGAGAACAGGGTGTTGAGGAGAATATTTGGACAGAAGAGCGATCAAGTCAGAGGAGGTTGGAGAAAACTGCATAATGAGGAGCTTCATTACTTGTACTCTTCTCCAAGTATAATTAGAATGATCAAGTCAAGGAGGATGTGGTGGGCAGGTCATGTAGCACGAATGGGGAAGACGAGGAATGCGTATAGGATATTGGTGGGGAAGCCAGAAGGAAAGAGACCACTGGGAAAACCAAGGCGTAGGTGGGTGGACAATATTCAAATGGATCTTAGAGAGATAGGATGGGATGGTATCTATTGGATAGATCTGAATCAGGGTAGGGACCAGTGGATGGCTCTTGTGAACACGGAAATGGACCTTTGGGTTCCATAAAATGCTGGGAAATTCTTGAGTAGCTGCAGAATTGGCTGCTCCTCAAGAAGGGCCCAACTCCATTAGTAAGTAAGTCATAGTTTATGTCAGACAATCGTGTTTTACTAGCCAGTGTAATTTATTCTAATTTAAGTAGTTTCATTGTTTCAGATTGCATGATAATTTGTAGGTTCATATGCCTTGCATACAAGAAAGAACGACCGCCATTTCTGTGACCAGCATACCCGATTTATTAAAACAGCATATTTCGTACATTTTTGTGATGAGCAGCGCACTAGCGCTCTGCTAAAAGACTACAGCATGACTGCTGTCACGCAGTTAATGCTGTGTTGTTCGGGCATCGCCTGAACAGAGTTTCTTTACACTGCAGTTGCTGTTCTGCTTGGTGTACCTGCGTGTACGCAAGAAGCAGTCTGTACTCGTACCCAGTTAGTACAATGAACCGAATCTACCTATCTGCTGTATTGTTTAGTGTGTGACTGTGAAGTGGCCCATTCTTTACAGCCATGTTGCTCTTTCACGCTGTACAGAAATGTGACCTAATTAAAAGCTGCATATTTCTCGAAGGTCGTGATACCAAATTTTATCGAGCGTCGCGGTCGAGTGGCCTCGTTTTCGAGAAGCTCAGATTTTGGAGTAGAGACCGTCTTGTCTACTGAAATAATTTGAGCACCACCCCATGAAGACGTATGGGGGAGTAAAGTATGGCTCCACTAGTCCTGACCTCGCACTAGACACATGTGAGTGGTCAGCTTCACGTCCCTGCCGCTTTACCCCAGGGGAAGCAGCCCTCGGTATCCACTGGATAGGATGCTGGGTGGGCCCAAGAGTCGGTCTGGACGTTATGGAGTGGACAAAAATCATGCCTTAACTGGGATTGGAACCCCGGCCAACAACCCGTGGGCCGTCGCTATATCGACTGGGCCATGCCGACTCTTGACAAGGTCCTTAATAAACCACAAATAAACAACTAGACCTTCGTCAGAATTCTGGTCCGTGTATATATATGCACAGCCCCATTCTGGTATTGATTGCGGGAAAATTAAAAGTGGGCTCTTGTATCTTATTTTTCATGTGAAATTTCACAATGATCCATCCATGTGTTCAGAAGCACTGACATAATGCATTTACATTGTAACATGGATAGCAGTATATGCATAGCGGCCATGTTATAGACATTTAGCTGCCGGCTGGACGAAGTGGCATTGGAGCAGTTTTCTCGTAGTGCTTCTGTTTCCCCTGCCAATTTTTGTTCCATCCACAGCTCCACATTCATTAATCCTATCATCGGCGCTATATAGTCTCGATATTGTCACGTCGTTAAATATCCAACTGTTGGAAAGATATGTGTGGAGCTGTGTACACTGGGCAAGATCCTGGCAGGTTAGCTCAACGTAACGGGCCTGATTTACTGGATATAACCATTTAAATATATGCTGTGACGTTTACCTGGACCTTCCTTGTCTTTTTCGGATTTAGTATTAAGAAATAGAGCATACCATTTCACCCCTCGCCCAAATTCTTCCCCATTTCATCATCATTCGACGCTACACAACTTGCACAGTCGATACAGCCGAGTTAAATAAGGGTCCATGATTCTCAAGTAACTTCTAAGTAGAAATTAGATAAGTTTATTTGCTTAGCATTATAGAGCCCCCTGATTAGTTTCTCAGCACTGCCCTGCAGTCTGTAGCGCTTTCAGTTTTCTGGACGCTGCGGCCACAGCCCAGCCTTGAGCTTCTCTTTTTCATAAATGTTTAGTTGAATCCTACTCAGACACACTAAAGGTTTCCTCGGATCGAGGCGCGCCTCGTCACAAAGCCTGTACCCAGACATCTCTCACTTGGGGTTCAAACCCACGGTTTAGTTCTTAATTGCTCGATTGCAGCAAGTACGTGTTAGACCTAACGGCCTCCGGAACCAATCGCTTGGTGATCAGTTTCTAAGATTCACAGAATGAGAAAAGAAATTTATCAGTGTAGGTCAGTCTCCTCGCTTGAGGTCGTTCATTGTATCACGTGCCTTCTCCCAGCAAGACCATCATTTCCGACTATCTTTATTATCTCGTCATTTTTCCTCGCTTCTTACCAATACCGTTCATTTGTCCCAGTTGCTGGAAGAATTCACGTATGAGTTTCTAACGCTGAATTGTGTGGCAACCTTTAAGATACTATTGCTATTGTAAATGTGATCTGAGGACTGTAGTATGTTGCTGTCCTCAATTGTTTGTTCTGCTCTGTAATGCAATGCAGTGCACTACTGTCCTCGTTTGCTGTTGCTGCACGCGCGCGCTTGCATTTCCTTCTTCAGACATAGGAAAGCAATCCTGCCTACCAGTTCCATTCCGCAACCCCCTCCAGTGCGTCTGAGTGCCTGCAACCCAAAACCAAAACAGAAAGCCTAGAAACCTTAAGCAGTTGGGGTTGAACATACGAGGTACATCGAATGGACGGAAAGTTCCCAGATATCTCGGTGTAATCATTAATGAGAGAATTACATGGAGATTTCGCTCAGATATTATCGAACCATGGGCCTTCAGCACATTTATTAGAATCTGTTCGCTATTCAGAGGGGGCACGCGGTGGCATAATTGGTTGACGCACTATGCTACAGGCCGGCAGGTTATGGTTTCATTTCCCGGTGAGGTCGTTGCATTTTTCAG